CCTCTCCTTTGTATTAGTCTTATGTTTATGTTTCTCTCCTCCTCCTCCTCTCCCTCCTCCTTTTCCTTTTCCTCCCCCCCCCTCCCCCCCTCCTCCTCCTCGTCCTCCTCCTCGTCCTCCTCCTCCTCCTCTTCCACCTCTTCCGACTTGTCCCCCTCTTTTTCCTCCTCCTCCTCCTCGACAATTACACAAAATGAATGCCACTCTCCTCTATCCCCCGACTCTGTCCGAAGAGTCTCCCGTCCTCTCCGCTTTTTTGTTGTTACAATGGATTTCACGATATGGTGTTTTGGAATGTGCTTGTCCAATTATAGTTGTGGTGTTTCTGCTGCAGCGCTGCCCTAATTTCCTCGCTTCGGTCATTCAGAATCGTGCTCCCGCTGTAGCGCTGGCATCATTCCCGCGCCTCCGGACGGCACTTGGCCTTCGAAAGCGCCCACCCACATCGGGCAGGCACGGTTGCGAAGATAATGGAGCCTGGATTCCGCACGGGCCTTCTCCTTTCGTGCACGGGCCATTCATCCTCCAAAGCATCCAGTGCCATGCCACTCCATGCAATGCGATGCTGTGTTGTGCACCGCTGTGGGATACCATGCTTTGCGTTGCTATGCTTTGTGATGCAATGCTTCACTACGCAATGCCACGCCGTGTTAGGACATGCTATGCTCTGCCGTGATCGTCCACACCATGCGTTTCCGTCCATCGCGTACCCTCTTGTGATCATTGCTCTGCTCGACATCGAACTGTGCGAATCGAGCGGATATCTACGCCATGATAGAGGATGGGAGGGAGGGGTAGGACGTCTGATGTGACGCTAGCGCACCTAGCTTGTCCTCCTCCCCCGCCCCCTCTTCCCCCTCCTCCCCCTCCTCCCCCTCCTCCACTCCTCCCCTCCTCCCCCCCTTCTTCCTCCTCCCTCCTCCCTCCTTCTCCCCTCCTCCCCTCCTCTCCTCCTCCCCCCCTTCCTCTTCTCCTCCTCCTCATCATCATCATCATCCTCCTCCTCCTCGTCCTCGTCCTCGTCCTCGTCCTCGTCTTCTTCCTCATCCTCCTCCTCCTCCTCCTCCTCCTCTTGTCCCTGTTCTCCCTCTCCTCCTCCTCCTCCTCCTCCGCCTCCTCCTCCTCCTCCTCCTTCCTCCACCCGTCTAGATCTTCCAGCAAGAAGCTGACCACCCGGCCCCCATGTCATAATTTTTCCATGACGTCGACCTCCAAGGAATTCCACCCATTCACTGGGACCGGTTTTTCATCTTGGGTCGTTTTGGATGGCGCCCCGGGGCCCGGCGACGGCCACCAGAGGCCGAAGATTGCAAAGCAAAATCCGCCGTTTTTTCATGACTCGAGAGGGTCTTAGCGATGAGCACTGCTCTGCACCTGCTGCATCGAATCCCCGGCCTCCAGCAGCACGAAGAGCTGGTTGGAGCTCCCGTGCACCCCCTGGGCGCCGAGAGGCACGCCACTCCCCATCCGCCGGCCTCGGCCGCCCATCCCGGGGCTGGACTAAGCCGCCAGCGAGGACGACAATCGGCGGCGCACGCAGGGGGGATGGCCAGCTTCGGAGGCCCGATGATCAGCACTAAAGGGGTACGTAACCCTCTGTCGGTGCGATAGAAATGGGGTGCTCAAAGAAGGAGCACGAACACCGACCGCACTTCCTCTTCTTCTGAACAGGACTCGGTGTCGGTGTCGCCGCGGACGTTGGCCGTTTGAGACAGAAGACCGCCTGCCCAACAGCGGCCGCTGTCGATGTTGGACAGCAGTTGCTGTTGGGCACCGTACTTTGTCTCCGTGCGTATTCGGGTGTCCAAACTTTGGGAGCGGATCTAAGTTAAGAGGCCCCAGACATGGAGAGGAGGTCCGAGTAGGTGTGTCGAAACAAACCGCCCATATTGATCATCCCTGCTGCAGAGGTGTGGTCAGAGGTTAGGCTACGTCTTCAATGTGTTCTTGGGTAAGGGGATCGTTGATTGTCGATAACTCGAGGTTCGACGTTTCCGGACGTTTTCGTTGATGATCGGCAATTCCCTGGCCTCGGTCTGGCATCTGGCGACTGCGCCTCGCCGAATGCGTTCGGGGGGTGACCGTACGGTCTCTGACGGCCGCCGGAGCTGATGTTTGTTTTTTTTCCTACTACAGGCCAGTCGCAAGCAGCTATGGCCGAGCTCACCCTCCTCAGGGGTGGGATGAGAAGCCGGCACTTGAGGACGAGACGGTGATGCACAGCTGTGCGCGTGTGATCAGCAATTTGGGGAGCATGGTGCTGAGTACGGTCGCTACGCTATCATCAGGTGCCCCGAATAAGGAACGAGGCATATTTTTTGCCCCGAAATTAAAATTCGATTCTCCATGCAAGACCCTACAGGAGCACGCAAGGCAAACTGTAAACCAAGTATCGGCGGCGAGCGAGGGGGGGAAGTGAGAAAGAAAAAGCCTTCTCAGGAGGTTCGGAAGTCCCCCGACCTTATCAGAAGCTTTCTAAGCCGTCCCCGAAGACAGAACAACAAACTTCTCAGAAGGCGCGAGGGCTTCTAAGAAGTCCCGCCGCATCCTGCGAAGGCCTTCTCCTTCTCATTCCCCCCCTCGCTCGCCGCCAAAAGTAAGGAACACTGATGAGCCCCTCCCCGACGAAGAGGGGGTCTGAATGGGCAACGGGACACACAAACAGAGACGCACAAATCCCAGGACCCCTCATATTCTTCCATATTCTGTGCATTCTCGTCCTACTCCCCCACTTCCCATACATGTTCTCCATATCTTCGAAAGAATCGACGATTCATTGTCTGTGTGTGCGTTTGTTGTCCCTCCAGGGCTTCTCCTCGGGGATCTTCTGACCCGGGTCAATCCAGACCCGGGTCAGCAGGAAACGAAAAGACTGCAATGCAGGAGCAAAAAACACTGCAACGCAGGTCTTCGCCAACCCGGGTCAGCCAATAGGCGCGGCCGCCTCGCGGCCGCGAGCGGCTCGCTGACCCGGGTCAGCCAGAGGGGGTCTTCGCAGGACCCTGCAGGATCCGCTGCCCTGAGGAGGAGGATGATGGAGGAGGAGGAGGAGGAGGAGGAGGAGGAGGAGGAGGAGGTGGCTGACCCCCGTTTGCATTGACCCCCGTCCCTCGAGCCCCGCTGCCTCCCTCCGCGGCCCGACGGCCGGTGGCGTCTGCACCCCGCGCGGGCTCCGCCGCTCGCCCCGGCCCGCTCGCTCCAGCCGCGCCGCCCCCCGGAGAAGGCGGTGCGGCAGCGCAGGCGGGGGGCGTCGGCCGTGCGAGCGGGGCACGCGGGCGATGTAAATCGGGGGTTTCCGGAACCCTCCAGAGCCCCTTCCCCGACGCGCGATCGGGGCACGCGAGCGATGCCAATCTGGGCTTACAGTAGGGGCCCATGCCAAGAAACACCCTGCTTGCCTCCAGGGTGCCCTGGGTTTCTCTGGTGTTGATGCTTTGCGACGGAAGGCATGACGTGCCAACACCAAAAATCAATGGGCGTCCTGGGTCTCAGGGTTGGATTTCTGGTGGAAGGTCTCTTGTGGTCGGGCCCCCATTGTAGGTCGGGCGTGTCCCCTTGCAGGGGGATTTTTGAGGCAATATTGAAAATACTCAAAAAGTATTCCCAAATGGTCCAAAGATGCCTCCCAAATCGTCCGCAGACTATGTCTTGACTATATTTTCGAAGACTCCCCCTGTAGAGGGACAGGCCCGACTTCAGTCTAGGCCTCCTCGATCGGGTCGGAGTAGATGGGGTCGGAGGATCGCGCCGCATCGCCAGTGCATCGGCGATGCGGCTCGATGTGGGGCCGAATTTTCTCGCCGACGTCGTCGACGCATCACCGACGCCGCCAGAGCATCGGGGATGCATCGGCGGTGCATCGGCGATGCATCGGCGATGCATCGCCGATGTGTCGGCGATGCGGCGAGATCCTCCGACCCCATCTACTCCGACCCCATCTAGGAGGCCTCTAGAAACGAGAGAGCAGAACATAGCCAGATCGAATCGCGAGATCGGATCGGCTCAGAAACCGACGGGATCGCCAGCGAACCGTCCAGCATCGAATCATAATCGGATCGCCGCGCCTTGCTCAGGCTGACCTCAATCGATGCCAGCGACCCGACACGAACCGCACCGAATCGGTACCGCGGCCCCGGTCGGCGAATCGCATCTCATCGCATCGAATCGGATCGTGGGCGGCCCTGGAGGGGTCTTGCGCGAGATGACATAGCGACCCTACGCGGTGGCGTGCGCGGACCGCCAGCGCGGCTTGCTGCACTGGAGGGCGCTGACGCGCGAATCTTACACTGGCAGCTTGCGCACGACTGTGGGCGCAAACGACCCCGTCTTCCTTGCGTCGCCCACGCGTCGTGCATTCTCTCCCCGTCCCTGCTGGCGCTGCGTCTGGTGCAAAACCTCTGAACGACGGAGTGGGACAGGGACAAACCTTCCGGGGGCCGCGCATCGGGCAAAACTTAGAGGCACTCCCCCTTCCCCCCCCCCGCCGCGCCGCGGAGACGACGACGCCGGTGATGAGGTGGGGGGAGATTCGCTTTTTGGACCACGTCCCAGCACCACTGGAGGGCATCGAGCCCACGGTCGCGGGAGAGGAGGGACGGGGCGGGACGGTGGAGTTCGACCCCGGCAGCGCACGGGGCACAGCGCAGGGAGGGACAAAAAGCAAGTCAATGCAAAGGGCAACCAAGCCTTCTGCCTCTCTGAGTTACGGGACGAAAGAAAAACACGCCTGGACCGGCGATGATGTTGGTGATCTGACCCAGGCGGCCATTGGGGTGAGTACCGCGGCAATGCTGGAGACAGCGACGTCCAATCGACGCCGCTGCGCGCATGAGCGCATGGTCTGAACATGGGCCAGATGCCACAACGTTTCGAAACAGTGAATGACGCGTAAACCAAAGCAGACACAACGACTCAACAGCGTAAAAGTGCGTGCTTCGGATATTTGATCCAAACGTGATGAGACGGCTCTTCCTCCTCCACCTTCGCCTCCTCCTCCTCCTCCTCCAACCCCTCTACAGTCTGACAAGTCTGAACCGCCTCTAACGAACTGCGTCGAGACATCGCTGCTTGCGAAGCACCCGACCGGAATTGGTTTGCGAGAAAATCAAGACTGCTACGCAAATCGCTTCCACCTTGCGCCCGTCAGTCTTGAACTCTGCGAAGACGCCTTCGAGGTAGAAAGGCACCTGCGCCCACCTCCGCCTGCCCCCGCCACAGTCTCTAATCATTCCCATCCCCCCTCCGCGACGTAGCGAATCCCGCAAGCCGTCGCGGGATCCCATCCGCCCTGCAGGCTCAGCAAACAAGCCCATGGCTGCTACGCGGGTGTGTCCTGGACATCGCGCCGGCCAGTTCGACGCGGACTCATCAGTCCCACGTTGCCTCCGCAAACCTGCCAGTCTGGAACGTTGCAAGGACGCCCTCTCGTTCAGCACCTATGAGATTAGCAGTGTAATCGTCCTCTGTGGGATGCATGGGTTCTCCGTCGGGGCAGACGCACATCATAGCCTCCTCTTTCATTGGCATATTATGAATGAGGTTGGCAGCTGCTTCGTTGTCGTTCATTGACCCATCCGGTATGTGATTGCTCGCACGCTGCTCCTTGATCCTCTGCCAACGAATCTTCCAGCCTGGCGTTGAGTGCGGACCTTTCTTCGTGTCCAACCCGTCCCGGTGACGCTGACACTCTGGCGTGACATCCTCTAGCGACTCGGCATGCGCATCGAATCCAAGAAGTCCGCCAATGTCTGCACGACCGAGTGCGCTTAAGCGCCGCACGGCCAAATTCAGGTGCTCCTGCATGGGGAGGTCTTGGCGGACCACGATCATCGCGGAACCTTCGCCCCGCTTGCCTTGCATCATGATCTGGAGCTGCCCAGCTACGGTCGGCAATCCTTCCTTCACGCTCTTTTTGGTGCGCCACTGTGCCTTGGACATTGTCACCCTGACGCCTATATTTGCCTGCTGCTCAGAGAGAACGATGTTTTCATCGGTCCAATCCGCGAGCCTCGTCCATGGAACATCTTCTGGCGCGCCTGGCTCCATCACCCGGAGCCCCAAGAACTCGTCGCTTTCATTCTTGGTGTGCGACCTGAGGTAGGAGCGCACCTGCACGACCGCCCCACCGATCCACGAGCCCGAGAGCTCAACCGCGGTAATGTAGGTGGTGCATGGTTTCCCGTGCTCGGGGCGGATCGTTGCCTGAAGCTGGACCTCGGCGGTCCTTTCGGCGGCCTGCGGGATGCGGAGCAAAGTGAACTCACCGCCGTGGTTGACGTCGAAATGCTCGCCAAGAAGGTTGACCAAATGCGGGTCACCCTTGGCCGACACCGTCGGGGCCGGGGTGGGCAGAGGAGAGGCAGGGGGGCCGATGCAACATCCGCCGTTCCCGTAGCCGCTGCCCGCATAGGAATCGAGGATCGTGTTGTTCCCACTGCACTGCTCGTCACACCTGTACCCGAGATCGCAGATTTCGATGCCACATCCGCATGGGTACTGCTCGCTGAGCGAGATCCCATTGACCTGTGTGCAGGCAGAAACGATCGCGTCATACTTGTTGAACGCCGCGTGCACGCCGTGGTCCAATATGAAAAATGGCCCGCTCTTACGCAGAAGAGACTCATGGTATGACGACAACCTCTGGCCATCATCGAAACCAATCTTGTCGACGATGACCAGTCTCTCGAAGTGGCCAGGGTTGCGCGTCGACATCGTGATCCCATCGCCCTTTTGCAACAAGACCCCGCTCTCGTCTTCGGCCTTGTTGACGAAGACAAGGTCGGACCCAATTGTGATGGGTTCTGTGAGCCACACCCCGGAGATGCAGTTATCGAAGTCGCCCAAGTCCACTTTGCCCGCAGGGCAGTCACTGCATGCCTCCGAGCGGCGCCGCCGCGTGGCACCGGCTGAACATTGCTGGCAAACGCTGGTGCCATCCGTGAAAGAGTATCCGTAGTCGCACTCAGCTGGGCCCACGATTGGGAAACTAGGCAAATCATTCGAGTACGGCGAGTCCCCGCACTCTGTCTGGTTCACGCAGCCGTCGCCGTTCGCGTCCATCTCGGTAAAGTGCCCGTTGAGATTCTCATCTTTGTTCACTTCTTGCTCCACTAGGCAACCATCACCATCTAAGTCAAGATAGGGAAACACGCCACAAGCCTGTTCACAAGTGCACGGTGCCCCAGGTTCCATCGTCGGCGATGGGGTGGGAAGATACGTTTCGTAAGTGATGTTGACCGTCATATTGGAAGCTGCACCGTCGCATGCCACCGTCCACGTTGTGCTCCCCAGAGGGACACCATTGAAATCAGAACTACCGTGATGCCCAAAATAAGTGCAGCCAGAATCAGAATCTAAATCCATGGTCGCTGTCATGTTTGGTGAGTCTGAGTCGAGAATCCATCGCGGCAGTGCGTATTTCGGAGGTCGCGCAATGCCATCGCACGACGCGTCCCAATAGATGTAATTGCCATCGATGTTGCTGTACACTGGGGCTCCTGTTGCGCTGCTGCCAGCAAACACGAAGTAAGGGTTGCCGATCGAAGTCGTCTGACACGGCCATTCTACCTTCAGGATGCCTGGAGGAGCACACGAAAGGCCTCGCCTGTCACGTGAACAAGCCTCATTTGTTACACACACTTCAGACCCGCACTGACACGGGTAGAAAGAATTCACAGACGATCCATCCGTGACATCGCAATCACTCAGTGCAGTCGTGGGTGCAGGCGTGGGCGCGGGCGTCGGTACCCGGTTAAAGTTGACACTGATGGCTCCTTGTGGGCTTGGGTTGGCACAGGTGGTGTTGGAGTCATGCCTATTCGTCTCCTCACACGGTGCAGTGTAAAGATCGCATTGGCCTCTCCAGATAGACTGCCAAGGATGAAGAGCAATGGCCTTGCAATTGGGGTACTGTGAGCACTCCGCGGCACACAACTCGAGAGAATCGTATTCTTCTGAGAACTGTTTGATTGGTGTTCCACACTGGCAATTACGACCGATTTGCTCGTATCCAGGGTAGACGGACGTAAGTAGGTCATCTAAATGGATTTCTGTTGGCATTGGAGTTCCAACATGCAGCGCTGTAGGCATTGGGGTTCCAGAACTTGTCCGGAGCCGCTCCTCTGACCGCCACGAGCAAGGCTTGGGGCAAACATCGGAGAGCCTGTCCACACCGTGCAGGTGCTGCTGGAAATCCTCGAAACTGGAGTTGCTCGTCAGGGGGAGATACCACTCTGGATGTTTTTTGATGCCAGTCCGCATCGCCCACTCCACCTTCTCGTAGCACTCGTCGCCCTTGACACTGGTGCGGCACTCCTCTGGCACTGCGGACACATGCTCTGTGCGTCGTTCCTCTGGCCGCGCCGCTGTACATGGCTTGGGACAAACGCCAGCGAGCCTGTCCACGCCGTGCAGGTACTGCTGGAAGTCCTCGAAGCTCGAGTTACTCGTCAGGGGGAGATACCACTCTGGGTGTTTTCTGATGCCCGTCCGCATCGCCCACTTCACCTTCTCATAGCACTCGTCGCCCTCGATAGTGGTGCGGCACTCCTCTGGCACTGCGGACACATGCTCTGTCCGTGGTTCCTCTGACTGCGCCGCTGCACATGGCTTGGGGCAAACGTCAGAGAGCCTGTCCGTTGCATGCAGGTACTGCTGGAAGTCCTCGAGGCTGGAGTTACTCGTCAGAGGGAGATACCACTCTGGGTGTTTTTTGATGCCTGTCCGCATCGCCCACATTACCTTCTCGTAACAATCATCGCCCTGGGTTGCAGTGTGGCATCCCTGCAAACTCCCACTGCCAGGCAAGACCGTGTGCATCTGGATGAGATACAGGTCCACGTGCTCAGCGCAGGTAGCTACAAGCCCCACTGCGCACAGATATGCCATTGTTCCAAAATTAGCTTGGAACGTGTACGATTGCATCTTATAGTATGCGGAGATGTTCGGTATCAGCAGCTATACAAAGCCGACAAACTCGGAGAGCAAACTTGCTTGGACTAGAAAGTATTGAGCCACAATGGTTACGGAAGGGAGATGATGTTGGTGATGATGGTGATGATGCTGATGCTGCTGATGATGCTGCTTTCCACAGCGCTGGAGACATCATCACCATCATCATCACCATCAGCATCATCATTAGTATCATCATCATCATCATCATCATCATCATCATCATCATCATCATCATCATCATCAATATCATCATCATCATCATCAATATCAATATCATCATCATCAGCATCATCATCATCATCATCACCGTCATCATCAGCATCATCATCAGCATCAGCATCAACATCACAGTCAGCATCACCGTCAGCATAAGCATCAGCAGCAACAACATCAACATCAACACATCAACTTGTACGTGCGACTTCCCCCGGCACAGGGGGCGCCCTGCAGGCGGCTCGAGCCCAGCATCAGCATCAGCATCAGCATCATCACAATGATCATCAACATCAACATCAGCATCAGCATCAACGTCACTATCATCATCACCATCACAGCATCAGCATCAGCAGCATCATTCATCAATATCATCATCATCATCATCATCATCAGCAATCATCATCATCAGCATCATCATCATCATCATCATCACCGTCATCATCAGCATCATCATCAGCATCAGCATCAACATCACAGTCAGCATCACCGTCAGCATAAGCATCAGCAGCAACAACATCAACATCAACACATCAACTTGTACGTGCGACTTCCCCCGGCACAGGGGGCGCCCTGCAGGCGGCTCGAGCCCAGCATCAGCATCAGCATCAGCATCATCACAATGATCATCAACATCAACATCAGCATCAGCATCAACGTCACTATCATCATCACCATCACCATCATCAGCATCAGCAGCATCATCATTAGTATCATCATCATCATCAATCTCATCATCATCATCATCATCATCAGCATCAGCAGCATCATCATCATCATCATCATCATCATCATCATCACCGTCATCATCAGCATCATCATCAGCATCAGCATCAACATCACAGTCAGCATCACCGTCAACATAAGCATCAGCAGCAACAACATCAACATCAACACATCAACTTGTACGTGCGACTTCCCCCGGCACAGGGGGCGCCCTGCAGGCGGCTCGAGCCCAGCATCAGCATCAGCATCAGCATCATCACAATGATCATCAACATCAACATCAGCATCAGCATCAACGTCACTATCATCATCACCATCACCATCATCAGCATCAGCAGCATCATCATTAGTATCATTCTCCCGCTCGCGCGCTAGCGAGCTGTCTCCGTGCGCGGCCGCGGCGTGCGCGCGCGGGGCGGCCCAAAATGGGCAGGCCCGTCCCGCGCGCTCAAGCCGGGGCGCCGCGCGTCAGACGGTGGAGTCCGTCTGGTCGCCGATGTCGGCGAGGCAGCGCCCGTCAGCCTTAGAATGGGAGAGGAGGGAGGGGGGCAGAGAAGCTGCGGAGACAGCAGGAGCTTGCTCACAGAGAATAGAAGAAGCATTCTCCCGCTCGCGCGCTAGCGAGCTGTCTCCGTGCGCGGCCGCGGCGTGCGCGCGCGGGGCGGCCCAAAATGGGCAGGCCCGTCCCGCGCGCTCAAGCCGGGGCGCCGCGCGTCAGACGGTGGAGTCCGTCTGGTCGCCGATGTCGGCGAGGCAGCCATACCCGTGCTCAAGGACCTTGCGAACTGACAAGGTTTTGGCGGGCGGCCGCAAGCAGGGCAGGCCAAGCGGCGGGGCCGACTTGGAGGAAAGAAGCGACGAGGCGGTCGCTGGCGGTGGCGAAGAACAAGATACGAGCCCGCGCGTGCTCGGGCAGCGCAGCAAGAACTGTAGAGGCGGCGGCGGCTTGCAGGTAGCGCTCGGCACTGGAAGCCTGACGCCAACGCCCACGCCAGAAGACGCGAGGGACGTCTTCCGTAGCGATATAGAAGTCTGTTGCGCCAGAGCCCCGCAGACAAGCGGGCGTCAGGTTGAGCCCCTGACCTGCTTTGGCAAGAGGGACGCCCAGAGCCAAAAGCAGATGATTCCACCGAGTACGGAAGCCGCTCGCACCGAAGGGGGCGAGAGGATCGGTGGAAGCCAACCTTCCAAACACTTGACTCAATATCTTCACCGTGCCCCGATCGGAGCAGCGAGCATGTTGCGTCGGGTACGTTCTTCTGGTCTTTGGAACAAGAATTGAAAGAAAAGCATCCCCTTCGACTTCGAGACGGTCGCATGGAAGCGACAGGTCACAGCGGCGTGACGCCAGCAGTTCGCCAGGCCTGAGGAACATCGTGAAGCCCATGAGCAGCAGCGCCGCCATCACAGGCCAGTCCCAGGCGAGACAGAGCCCGACCATGGCGCGCAGCAGCGCGCGTGGCAAGGGGGGACGGAGCTTTGGCGGCTCCGCAAGCTTCCATTGTTTCGCTACGTCCCAAGCTTCTGTCAGAAAGGCCTTCCAATGCGGATGGGCGCTTTGGATTCCCAAGATGGCATGGACCAAAATATAATGAGGGAAACCTGCATCATGAAGCCACACGCCGAAGGTCGCGAGGAAACGAGCGAGAAGTATCCCGCTTCGGTAAAGTGTGGCGGGTGGCACGCCAGTGTGTTCTGCTAACCACAGCTCGAAGGCATCAATCGATCTCGAGCGACGGTCGAGATACGCGGAGGTGAGGTGAGAATCGCGCACAAAGGGAGTGCGCGGAGGGCGAGCGGGCGCGGACGGCGCAGCCCGACTAAGCCCTTGGCCTGCGGTCGGCGCCGCGGCTCCCAGAGAGATGCAGAGGCCGCAGACGCACCACAGGATGAGCGCAGGGCGGCCAGGGCTTGGAGAGCTGATCACCGTGGCGGCCCTCCTGCGCCTGGACGCGTAGAAGGGCGGAACGAGGGCGTCCCGCCCGTCGGTCTCGAACCCCGACGCCTCCGCCAGCATCGCCCGCGCCGAGCTGAAGGACCCGCCCATGTTACGGTAGGCACGGCGAGCCCCTGCTTCGATCTCGGCTGGCAGAGCGTCCCCTCTCTCGAGGGTCGGCCAGTCAAAAGGCGGGCGCGGCTCGGCACGCGCAGCTGCGGCTGCTTCGGCAAGCTCGGAACGAGCTGCCGAGGACGTGAGGCCCGAATGATGTGGCACGGGCACCACCTCCGCGAAGGCGTCGAGGATCTCGGACGGAGGGGAATGGGATCCCCACAGCGCTGCTGGGATGGCGCCGTGACTGTCCTGCACGTGGTACAGAAGGTCGAAAAGGCAGGCCAGTTTGCCCGCGCGCCGCCGCTGCTCGATCTTTGAGCCGAGCCCGATGCCACGGATGGCGCCCGCCCCCATGGCCTGGAGGTCAGCATCCGCGGGGATCGCCTCGGGCTCGACGATGGCCACGTAAGGATGCAGCCACGAGGCCTCGTCAATCGGCTCGGCGCCGCCTGTCTGAAACAGGCGCTTGTAGGCGTGCAAGGCCCGCAGGAGGCAGTGCAGGTCATCCTTGCCCTCAGGCTCGGCGGCCCCTGCGGGTGCAAAAGTCCTCAGCCACGACGCCGCGCTCTGGAAAGCACCTTGCCAGGCGGGTCCCCACCTCACCACTGTGATCTTCTCACCGCCTAGGTTGAGGCGCCACGCTAGGGCGCTGGCGGCCCCTGGAGGCAAGGGCTGCTCAGCGGCCGCCGAGGCCGTGCGCCGCGCTGCGAAGGCTGCAGCCGCGGCGCTTCCAGCGTCACCACTGTGAGAGCCGCTGAGAGGCAGCTCGGGCTCAGAAGCTCGACCAAGCGCGAAGCCGCTCGAAGACCCCCCTTTCTCGGCGGCACGCCCTCCTCCCTGCGGGGCCGCAACAGCATCGCTGGAAGAGCGCATGCCTACCGAAGTCGGAGGGGCCTGAGCAGCGGAGTCCGCGCGGGAGCTGGCTGGCCGCTGCGAAGTGGCGGGGCTCGGGCGACGCTTCGGAGCGACTCGAGGGGAGCGCACCACGCGACGCCCAGGCGACGCACGGGAACGCGACGCCGCACGCCCACCAGAGTGGTGACGGGGTGGCGATGGCGGCGGGGGGACGGGCCGCGGCGTCTCGGAGCCAGCACGCGTGCCGCGGCCCCGAGAGCGGCTGCGAGCCGCAGCGTGAGCGGCGGGCGGGGAGGCCTCCGCGCGGCGAGGGAAGGCCGCCTGCAAGCGGCGGAGGGCCTCAGGGTTAAGGCCCGCCACGACGCGCTCGAGGTCCACCGAGGAGTCAGTGAGGGCACTCAAAACGACGTCCTCGAGCTCCGTCGGTGAGTCCTCCTCGCACGCGGGCTCCGCTCTCGAGCGGCTGCGGGCGCTCGCTGGAGGAGACCCCTCAGGAGTGTGCGGGCCTTCCGATGCCTCCCCCGCCGGCGGCCCCGACGGCTCCTCAGGCGCGCTCGAGACGTCGATGGGAGGCGAGGAGCAGCCTCCCGAGGGGGAAGTGTGATCAGTCCCGTACGGGTTCGGAGACCGCGTACGGCTGCGGGCAGGGCTGCGGCTCCGCGGTGGAGGGCCCACTCCCGCGGCGGAGCTGGGGCGTGCCGCGCCTGCCCAGCGACGCGCATTAGCAGTGCGACGCGCCCTGCGGCCCGGCGTCGTGGCGGCTCCCTCTTCAGGGGCGGGTAGCGCCGCCGTCGAAGCTCGCCGCTGCTTCTTGGCGCGCTTGTTGCGCGCGGCGCCCGTGCGCGAGGCGGAGTGTGGCGCGTGATCACCGCGATTGGGCTGGTCCTCGACAGCCTCGTCCCGCGGGCCCAGGCGGGCGCGGACCGCGCGCCCCTCGCGACGGCTGAAGCTGGACGCTGGGTCGTCGGCAGGCCTCGCCAAGGTGCGCGGGTCCACAGCTTCCACCTCGGCCAGAGAGCGCCCAGTAGACGACGCGGGGGCGTCCCCAGCACGAGCGGCGCGATCCGCGTTGGCGAGGCCCGTCGAGACCTCAGCGTTGTGCAGGACGGCGCGCAGAGTTTTGCGCCAATCCCGACCCAGCTGGACGGGAGCCGTACGCGGCAAGCCCGCGGCCTCACGACTGGCGGCCTCGCGCAAGC